ACCCGCCGGGAAGATTTTCTTTAACATTTTAAAGTAAAATGCTTCAATCTGGTGCACTTTGAGCAGAATTACTAGAGACCTGATCTAGGGGGTACAACTCTAAACACCCATTTGAAAAAGATTGGTTTACATTTTATTAATTAAATAAGTATGTGAACATAACCAATAACCTACCATAGCCAATAACAAATAAATGTAACGTACTTTATTTTTTGTTGTTATATATCTTATTTTACCTAGTTAACATTTATTTATTTATGCATATTTTTAATCCCTCCAGTTTTAAAGGATATGTTTGGTTACTGTCCTATAGTATACATTGGAATGATTTCAAACCTGTTTTTATTTATCTTAATAATTATAAAGGAGTGCCTTGGAAATATTTGTTTACATAAATTGTGATAAAACCGTTTGAGACCCACTGAGATAACTTAGACTAGTGAACTATCTAACTCTGAACTATCTGCCTCTCAGGACAAATGGAAAATGTAACCGGGGTGAAAAGGGTGTTATCTTTACTTAATTATGAATGTGAACATCAAGTTATCTAAATTGTCTTGTCTCCTCCAGCTTGAACTCAAGCACCATTCCTTCTTCTCTCCAATCAACTGGGACGACCTGATGGCCAAGAAGATCACACCTCCATTCATCCCCTCAGTGGTGAGTTCAGATGAGTGTAGTTCAGCAGCTGTATGTTTGATATTCTATTAATCACTACCACAACAAAATATATACAAATGGCTACAATTTACTAAAGGCCTATAGGACATTGTTTGAAAATATATATATATATTTAAAATATATCAACCATTATATACGGCTGCAAGTACTCACACAATTACTCTTGTGATTAATACTTTTGTCTAATAAAAGTAATGTATATGTAGTGTTTCAGATGAGATATATATTTAATATATATTTCTTTTTTTTTTACTGTACATTTTTTGTATCTACAGATAATAAAGCGATTTTAATAATAATAACAATTCTTAAAGGGCTGCTATATGTTTGCAAAAAGAAAGCCTTCATCTTCCCATCACTACCAATTTAAAAAATACAGCAGTGTAATGCATAACAGCAACATTTATTACTGTTTTGACATTTTACCTTGTATTTTATAACTAAATCATGTCCTCCCTGCTTGGTTTCACAGAGCGGCCCCACAGACCTCCGTCACTTCGACCCCGAGTTCACCCACATGCCCGTCCCCGCCTCTCTGTGCAACGACTCGCTGATGGTGACCAGCAGCGTGAAGGAAGCAGCCGGAGCTTTCCCAGGCTTCTCCTATGGTGCTCCGTCAGGGCAAGCCTTCATGTAAACGGCAACATCTCTGCCCTTCTTCCCCGAGAACTCAAGAGACACACGCTCTGGTTCACAGGGTCCACACCAGAGCAGCCTGCTTTGGTGGGGCGGCGTTACGGAGCTCAAAATGGACAGGAGTGGAAGATTTCGAGGGATCTTGTGCATGACAATTGTACAGATGGGGACTCTCATTTTACACCCTACTCTTCCGCCTCAACCACCCAAAACTATGAAACATGTGTGCCAAGTATGGATGCACTACGAGGTCAAAAAACATCACTCTCACAGCTTCTGGTGAGGTGACATGAAGAGAAGTGCCTGAGGTTCTAAAGGCAGTTTAAACGGCAGCAGCAGCAGCAGCAGAGTTGGCAAGAGCCAGCTTCATCAAAATAATTCAAAAACATTTCACTTGTTTGGACCAGGGCGAAAGCCGTTAAGGTGTAGGCCTTCATTACATGTCTATGTGTTCAGTTTGTTTTTGTTACATTGTTATTTTCATGTGAATGCTCAATTGCACTTGAGGAAACAAAGGTCAGGAAAAGTGTAGAAAAATTCTGCTTCAAACATCAGAAGCTTTTAGATTAGACCGCTTCATATCTTTACACTTTTATTTCTGCTTTGGACAAAAAACAGATTGGCTTTTTAATGATTTAAATGTATTTGATAGTGGACCAAAATATGCTTCAACTCAAACACTTTTGTCTTGACCTGTTTGTCCTCAGAAACCGAAGATCAACGTTTTACTGTACTCTGTGGAAGATAAAAAGTGACATATATTATATTGCAAACCAAAAGGGTTTCCATGTTTAAATACCAACACACATCCAATATTTACTTTTAAGAGAGATTTTAAGAAGCGCATATATTATAAAGTAATTATTACTGTTTCCTGGTATATGTATATGGCTGTATATTTTATTTTTAGAATTACTTTTCAATTTTCAACCAGTGTCTGTGTTAATCTATAATATCATCTGTTTATGAACGATCAGGAGCATGCGTACAGAGTTCAACCAGCAATAACAGGCCCACATCGATGATAGCACATACTGTATATCAAAGTCCTTTAAATATAAGTGATTTGCTGTTTTTTTGCAAACACTTGTGACGAACAATGTTTTTGTATTCAAGCATCATGTAGAGAAGAACTGTGAATGTCTCGTGCCTGTCCAAGACGGCCTGATCCATATTTACTGTATGTACATATCTATTTTCCCTAATCCTCTGGCTCCCTTTTCTAGAAATCATCAGTATAAAAAGTCCTTTGTTAACTTGAAGAAAGATCCATTAGGTGGAGCAGCCGTGGCTAAAAGCTAACAGTGATTAGCCACCGGCCTGCTGCATAGTAAGGTTGTGGAAAGTGCAATAAAATCAAGAATAATGATCTTTTAATCTCTTTTGGCAGTGTAAATAGTAATTTATGATCTGATATTCATAAAGTTATTAAGCGAGGATGTTCTCTCAAACGAATTGCTCATGTTTTGCTTGTTTAACCCTCCTGTTGTCTTCGGATCAAATCTGACCGATTTACTACTTTCATCAATCATAACTTTTTAGTTTTACATTCGATTGCATTAAGGCTTTATAACATCCTTCACAGTAGACATTTGAACATATAAAATTGCTGATCACCACTTTCATTGAATTCTGGATGATTTAGTCAACTTTTGTAACACCATGGTGTTCCCGGTCACACACACACACACACCACACACACACCACACACACACACACACACACACACACACACACACACACACACACACACACACATACTCTAGATGTGTTCTCCCCCCTTATGTGCCCATCCCCCCACATGGATCACACCTGGCACACGCAATACATGTTCAGTGTCTATTCTTTGTATATTTACTGCAGTTGTTCATGTGTACCAGTAGTCTGATACAATATGTACACTTTGAAAGGGTGTTAAATGAAATGTGGTGATGATTAATGGTTTTTGTGTTAATGTAATAGCAGTTAAAACAGGACCGGTCAAATTTGACCGCGAAAACCAAAGTAAGGGGGGGAACACGAAGACAATGGAATGGTTAATCTTCACGTTAGCCGTTTGCATACTGGAAGTGGATTTTCAAGCCTGCTGAAAATAAATAATAAGGCGACACACAGTTCTAGATAATTTTCTTCCATATTTGGAAGCATTACTTTTTCTGTTTTGTATTTGTATGTATATTTATTTTCACCCACTGCTACTGTATAAAGAAGAAACATTGACATGATCAACTGAAATATTGAATTGTGTAATGTGTCAGAAATGGCAAATAAATTCTCTAAATTCAATGAAAGTGTGCTGTTATTGTTTTGAAATTCTATTGATGCTACTTCTCACAATCATTTCATCAGGACCAATAGCTTTATTTCATTTCCGGGTAATCTGCTGTATTCATTAAGTGATCAATTGATTGATCTATCAAATATAAGAAAATTAACAAAGATGCCCATCAAAAATTAAAGCTCAATTTGGCATCTTGTTTTATCTGACAGCCCAAAACCATAAAATATTAGGTTTATTTTAAATTAACACAAAGAAAAGCAGGTTATCCGTAAGGCTAGAACCAGAGAATAATTTGAGTTTATGCTTAAGTATTAGGCCTACTGAAACTATATGAAAAAATTAATAAAACTATTAGAAATAGCTGATGAATAATTATCTGGTCGACTAACCAGTTTATCAACTCGTTTGGGTTGTGCAGTTGATCTACTACCTTTTTTATTGTTCTATCTTTAAACTCTTTGTCCCATATTTTATAGAGTGATAAGTTATTTTTCTTGATGTCCTTCTAGTTTTTTTATTTTATCTAGTTTTGAAGATAATTTAATATAATTTTTTACAATTAAAAACGAAACATTTGCCTAAACTTTCATTTTAAACCTGAACTCATCAGAAGTACTCAGACCTTTCAAGTGGAATATATTAATACCACAGTGTAAAAAATGATCTGTTACAAGTAAAAGTCTTGCCTTCAAAATTCTATGTATGTGAGAAAACAAAAGTAAGCAACAAAACAAACTTGGGAGATAGTAAAAGTAGGCTATTTGTTGTGCAGAATGGAAAATATGTATTGGATTATAATTATAAACACATTGATGTTCATTACCTAAATGTTTCAGCTGGGAAATGGTGGGACCAATAACTTTAATAGATTGTGATTCCTAACTAAGGTTTAAATGACTCTTATCATAGACTAGCGCTCTTTTTCGATGTTGCAAAAAAAGGTAGCATCCAGTCCATCAATTTGACTATAATTCAAGTTATTTAAAATGTTTTTAAAGTTGAACTGAATTAATGTGCCTGTTTGTAGATGTGGCTGTATACTTATTATTTGACTATGTAAGTACTATGTTATGTTGTTGCATGTAAATACTGTTATGGGGTTTCTACTGATTGTTCTACCTGCCCTCAGTAAAGATGGATGTTGTCTAATAACTATATGGCATCAATCATCTCTTTCTTTGAGTTAGTTATTTTGTGTGCATAGTCCTTGTTTGAATAGACAAATAATAATACTGAATTAACAATCAATTTCCAACACATGTTGTACACTTTGTTTTAACAAGTATTCGTAAGAAGATGGTTAATCTGTTCAAATACCAAATGTTTACAGCTCTATCTCTCACCTGTGTTGCTGACGCCCCGCCACACCTGTCGTCCCCCGTCGAGCCAAAGAAAGGACTACTGTGAATGAACATGCTGCACATGCGCAGTAGGCCCAACGAAAACTTCCTGCAAAATAGTGCTCCCTAACAACAGACAAAGCTTGTGGATTCAGTGGAAGACGCTTGATTAAAAGCGTTTCTTGTGCACTCCTTCAATGGTAAGACTGGATTTAATTATTTTTGGTGTGTCGGCAGAGTCTGTGTTGTGATGAGCTTCGCTGTTTGTGTGCAGTGGCAGTGAGATGCTTTCACACGATGCCATTTCAATACCCACTCTAATGGCTGCTGCGGGTTCCGACTAAGTACTGGAGCGGAAAACTTTCATGCCCGGGCACAATTAAGTCACTTACAGCCAGCGTAGTCATTTAAACTTCCTTTAACCCGAGACAAGTAAGCTAGTATACATGGAAAATCTTCAGAGAGTGACACTTTTTGTTAATATAATTGACGTTAAAGCGCGTTAATGTATTGACTCTGTTTGCTAACGCTGGCAAGCTAACGTTTCTGCTGGAAAGCCTGCACGGTGGCGTCTAAACGCTGCAATGCTAAGCTTAATTAATGCCTGGGATAATAACTCATAGTAGCAGATAGCGTTAGTTGTCTTTATCTAACTTCATGTGTTGATTGGGAAAATGATGTTCATTCCTATCTGCGTTTAAATTAAATATAAATTAGCTACTATCCCAGGAATTAGCCTGATGTCAGACTTCACCTTCACAGCAAACTGTCCTCGACTAGGTTATTTGCTGGATTCAGCTAACGGAACGGTTGTCGGCTAACATTTGCAGATGACATGGAGAGGGACTTTGAGTCGATGTGTTGCCTGGATGACTGCCAAACGGTGTGAAGGCTGTCTGTGCAGGACAAACAGTACTGCAGACATGGGTGTTAGATCAAACGGAGGTGTTGGCACTGAGGTGTCGAGAGTATTTGTCTTCATAAGAGATGTATTTGCTGCAACCAATGTGAAATAATTTGAATCCAACAAGAAAGTGATCAGAACCGCCCTTTACACAGACAAGGAAGGACTTCTTTTTATGGCATTGCTCAAAATGCAATTACAAAACAAATAGAAATAACATCAAGGACAAGGACAACAGAGATGGACAAATGGTGAAGAATAGAGAGCAGGAACAACTGGTGCAAAGACATTGATGCTGAAGGGACTTTATGATTGATGTCTGGAAAGTAACTGTTCTTGTGCCCAGTTGATTTGGCTTACAGAGTTCTGTAATGTAACCAGAGGGGAGAGGTTCAATCAGGTTATGTCCAGGGTTAGAGGGTCTAATGATGGAGACATCCAGATCCTGACTCACGAGTACCAAACCAGGCTGCCAGCAATATTGTTTGGAACCTCACTTCCAACAGTCCTTTAGGATATATAGACTCTGTAACTTAACAACAATAGTTCTGCGGAAGACCTTAAAGTAAACAAATGTATAGGTCACAAATACCTTTTCTGGAAGAAACAATGACTGTAAATTCTCTGGAAGGTTATGAGAAAAGTACGACAACTATGTTATTGTATTTAAAGGAACTCTGGGTACAAGTGATCAGTTTGTAGTCGTAAATCAACAATTCCTTAAATAAAAACTGTCTCAGATGATTGTCCATTTCCCTTTTTAGAATTACTATAAAGTTAAATGCGTCCTTCTAAAATGTTTTTCGGAAATTGTTAGGTCATTACACAACCCTTAATATAAGAATTTTCTGAGTAATATTGTCAAATAAATAGTAATATATTCCTAGTTGAGTGAGTCCAACACCATTGGGTACAGGTTTGTACTCTGGACTCATTTGTAGCGGAACAGATGTCTGAATCTTTCACAGCCAAGAACCACCGAAAAGATGGAGATTATTTTTACACTTCTACTGTAAAATCTTATCTGAAAACAACAAAAAACACAAGATACATTTATTAGAAAGATATTACACATGTTAAACATAATTTCACCATCAGACAAAATAACCGTTAATCAATGCAATTGAAATCAAATCAATTTGCTGCAGGTTACACTGTACCAAAAGAAAATACCACAGGCAAAGCAAGTTTTCTATTTAGGCATTTCAAACTGATTTTTTTTTAATTAGAATGTTGTCTATGATTTATGTGACAGTTACAATTTTAATTGTATTTGTTGAACTATAGAGCCTTTTGATTAAGATTACATATTCCTTTTTTAGAAAATCATCATTGGTCAAATAAATGAGAATTTATTTCCAGTAAAGTCTAACACATTGTTAGATGTTTTGTTTAGCGCTCCATCTCCATGGTCTGTGATGTCCTCTTGATACTCACTTGAAGCTGATCCTGTGTCAGGGCGATGATGTTCCTCGAACGTCGCGCCATTCAATCTCAGTGTTGTTGAGATGCTGGCAGAGGTAGCTGTGACCAGCTCTGTCAACATCAGGAGTGACGGTGGCTTTGAACTCAAATCTGTCAAATGAGCAGCAGCAGTGTAACTAAGCTCAGCTGGAGTGAAACATGGATATGGATTTGAAATCCAGTATTATGATGCATAGACTAGGATTTTGAGGAGTCTGTTGTAGGCAGACCTTGTTGCCTCCACTGGTAGAATATTTTATACGTTTTTAAAGTTAACTGCCTAAAACTAATGCACTTGGAGTGTCACTTTAAGAGTCTAGATTAACATAGTTGCTCCCAAATAAACAATGGAATCATAAACGCATTGGATGTATAGATGTGAATGCTGATGTCTACAGGTGAACGATTTAGAGAAAATGAACTAATTGAGATTAGTTAGTCTGATCATTGAAATTGCGATATTATTCTCAATATTAGGGGGAATGGTGATTTTATAAACATTATCTTCGGGAAATATATTGTAGTAATCTGAGGGATTTAAAATGTGTACTTATTGTTTTATTATTATTTATTGTTTTATTATTATGATGAAGTAGAAGACAGTTTGTAGGCCAGATATTTTCACATATTTTGCAAATATTGCGCTTACATTTCCTATATTGCAATTGCACTAGTCCATATTGTGGATTCAATGCATTTTAATTAGGGATGCACGATAATTATCGGCCCGATAATTATCGGTCCGATATTAGGAATTATGACGTCATCCCGATAAACCCGATACCAGTATTAATAGCCCCGATAATATACAATATATTTTTTGGGTAAAAAAAAAGAAAAAAATACTGCGGTGTGGGTGGATTGGGATGAGGGGCGCTTAATTTTCACTCGACTCCTCCCGTTTTGCCAGTACTGTGGTATTAGTGGTTTAGGAAGAGGGGAGTTCTTCACAAATCCAGCGCTCCCTAACTCGTGAAGCCAGGACAGTAAACAAACATGTCGTCGGTGGTATGGGCGTTGGAGCTATGTGCAACTCAAGGCATATGCTCGAACCGGAGCTGCCTGGACGCTGCAATCATGTTGCGCACTATCCGTGCTGAGTGTGCTGACTCTTCGTACAATGTCCCACTGTCTGGCTTCCTGCATAAAGTCAAGTGCTCGGCGCAGTTGTGGCGAAATGTCGCTCCTCTGTTTTCATTTAAACAGCTCCTTATCCGTTAGCGCAGCTAGCTAGCACCAGATGCTAACAACAACAATGCACGTAAGGTCTCTCGCTCGCTCGGGCCACACATACACACACCCTCCCGGTCCTCCAGATGGCCAGTCGGTGCCTTTAATATATACAGTCTATGGTCGGTGCCTGCCGGTGAGTGTGGAAGTGTGGTCTGCCACAAGCGGGCGGCAGGAGCGGGGCTGTCAGCATCAGCTTGTAGATGGTATTTTAAACTCGATGCGCTCTGAAACTACGGGGCGGCCAAGGAAAAAAAATACACATGTGCTAATCGCGTTAAAATAATTAGTGGCGTAAACATTTTTTTATTATCGGTTATCGGTATCGGTCTTGAGAAGCAGGAAGTTATCGGTATCGGTTTCAAAAAACCAATATCGTGCATCCCTAATTTTAATTAATTTTGCAGCCCTAGTGATGACATGACAAAAAACTCAAACCCTCAAAGCCTGTAATACAAGTCGGGGTCCATGTTTCAAGACTGGGAAGGGGGGTTGCTGCCCTTCAGCAGACCCTTAATGCATTTCGAGCATTGCGCCCTGGCTGGCAGTAAGGCCTGGGGCCTTGAGACTACCACGTAGAGAGAGCAAGACCCGATAGCACTAACGTCCAAGACGCCAGGCGACGAGGTCCGGACCAGGGGTGTAAAAGCTTGCAGTCTTAGCTGTGAACCACCACAACTGTGGGCATTTTAAAGCCAAACTAGAGCTGGCCTCGGCTAGTGTTGTGAATAGCAAATAAATTGATACTGAATATTTGAAACTGTTTACAGTGCATGACATTAAGGATTTTGGGAGATGGCCCTGTGGGCCGTCTAAGCTAATTTACAGATGGCAGTGTTTCCCACAGAATTTGATTCTATTTGTGGGGGCACCCCCCCTGCGGGCTCCCGCATTCTAAATGAGTGAGCCACACCGGAAAGGGAGGATCTATGGGGTTTATTCTCCCAAAAATATAATTAGCAGATGCCTTATTCCAAAGTGATTTACATTAGATTACATACATTTACATTTAACTACATTCTTCCTGGAGTAACTGAGGGCTAAGTGCCGAGTTCAAATCCCGCCTGGAACACCACGACTAGGATGTCTAACAAACAAACAAAATAAAATTTGGCTCGGCTACACAACGCTTCAGATGTTCAGACAATGTGCAAAGTTTGCAGCCTACTTGTTGCAAAGTTTGCACCCTTTGTCTTGACATCCGATTTTACGGGGCTTCCTGAACAAATATTCTAATGCCCTATTTTATGGGAAGGCCTCAGGACAGGGTCCATTTATGGAGATCTTCAAGCAAGCAGCCAGGTGTTCTCCTTGGAGCTGGTTTCGGAGGTCTGTTTTCACTTGAGGAGGAAGCAAAATGGAATACCACAAACTGAACTAATAAAGAAAATGCATAATAATTTGTTGTGCTTTTCAAAGTGATGCTTTTTCTGTTCATCGTCGAGAAATCGCGTTCACAGTTGACACTAGAAACGGGGATAACTAGTCCTATGCCCGCAAGGAGGCTCAGGCAGGGGTAGAGCTCAGCCCATTCATCAAATTGACCATGCTGTGTGTGGTATAGCCATGGCTTAGGCCCCGGCCACACGAGGACGAAAACGG